AAAAAAAAAAAAAAAAAAATACAGGACACGAGAAAATTACACAGCAGGCACCCCGTACTCCCCGAAATAAGCCTAGTTGTACAAACAACAAATCCAAGGCCCATTATGAGCCCAATCAAAAAGCCTATCTTATCCACTGCGGCCATGCATGAAAAGACAAAACTTTTCAAAATTGCCTGGTGGCGCTGCCGCACTTCCACGTGTCCATGCAAAAGCCACGTAATAGAAAAAACAAAACATCTATACAACCCTTCACACTCGCATCAATAATAATTAAGAATCCTCAAAACTCGAACACATACTTTTTTTTGTGAAACAATTAAAAAAATATCATCGCATAGAAATGTCCGGTAAGAGATCTGTTCCGGTGTTGTGCCTGTTGCTATGGTGCGCGGTTTTGTTGCCGTTAAGTGAGGAGCGGTTTCTGGTGAAGAGGGAGCAGAGGAAGACCCTGTTTTCCACCGAGGATGGAGAGATCTCGGCCGTCCGTGTTGCCGCCGACAACATCAACGGCTCCTATCTGCTGCATTTCTTCACCTTGGAGCCTAACTCGCTTTTCCTTCCATCCCTTCTGCATGCGGACATGGTCTTTTATGTCCACACCGGTAAATCCTCAACTCATATGTTATGGAGCTTTTGAATGGCTAAGAATAGACGTGGCCAAGGGCCGACCGGCCAAGTGACCCGGCCCGAAACCAGCCCGGAACTACCCCGGATTTACGGGTCTTGGAACCGGAGCTGTGGTAAAACAGTGCCGGTTCTGCCGGGTCTTACTTTTTCTTTTTTGATCGGCCGGTTCCGGGTTGGGCCAGTTCATTTGAACTGGTTCTTAGATATGTCCGGGCTGGTTACGGGTCGGGCCATGAACGGCCGGCCTTTGGACACGTCTAGTTAAGAACTTCTAGTTAAGAACTTCAACATCAGTTTTCATTTTCCTTTTTTTATTTAAAAAAAAAAAAAAAAGAACATCTGAAATCACGAGTAATGAATTAATGTGTTTCTGTTTGTGGATATGTGCTTGAATGTAAGGGAGTGGGAAGTTGAGCTGGACAGAGGAAGATGATCTCAAGAGCACAGATATAAGGAGAGGAGATGCTTACAGAATAGAACAAGGATCCGTTTTCTTCATACAAAGCAATTTGGAAACCGACACCGAGCGCCAAAAGCTCAGGATCCACGCCATCTTTGCTAACTCGAAAGATGACCTTCATGTACAAGCACTCCAAATTGTTTTTTCACACGAATATTGATTCATTAACCGAGTTTTTCTGTAATATATTTTCAAATTTTGAACGGAACCCAAAATTATGCAGGAGCCAGCTGCAACCGGACCTTATTCAAGCATCCGGGACATGGTTCTTGGCTTTGACAGGCAAGTTCTTCAAGCAGCTTTCCAGGTATCAGAGGATGTGATCGATGAATTAGTGAATGGAACAAATGCACCAGCAATAATACACGGACTTCCGAGAACAACCAAGGGAGAAACAGCAGTTGATATTGAGGCTCGGGTCATGACAAGCCTCCTAGCGACCAGAAGCTACAACATATTCGAAGTGAACAAGAAGAAGAAAAAGAAATCGGGTGCCAAATTGTTCAACATTTTCAAAGAGGACAAAGATTTCGAAAACTGCAACGGATGGAGCACGACAGTGACCCGGAAGAAATTGTCCGCACTCAAGGGCACCGACATTGGTCTATTCATGGTCAACTTGACAATAGTAAGTTTTTGTGGATGAGGTCCCCTCATTATTCATGATATAAGAAAGTGGCGATGTATTTAACTATTTGTTTTGTGCAGGGGTCGATGATGGGGCCCCACTGGAACCCAACGGCAACCGAAATAGCAGTGGTCCTGCAAGGGCGAGGCATGATACGAGTCGTGTGCTCAAGCATCTCAGAGAAGGAGAGGGCCCACTGCAGGAACACGAGGTTTGAGGTAGAGCAAGGGGATGTGTTTGCAGTGCCAAGGTTCCATCCAATGGCCCAAATCTCGTTCAACAACGAGACGCTGGTCTTGGCGGGCTTCAGTACCTCGGCGAAAAGGAACCATCCACAGTTTCTGGCGGGGCAGGGCTCGGTGCTGCGGGCCCTGGACAAGGACGTGCTTGCAATGTCGTTCAATGTGAGCAACACGACTCTGGATCAGCTTCTGAGCCCACAGAAGGATTCGGTGATCTTAGGTTGCGTGTCGTGCGCGGAGGAAGAGCTGAGGGTGATGAAAGAGGAGGCGGAGAGAGAGAAGGAAGAGGAGATGAAGAGGCGGGAGGAGGAGAGGAAGAGAGAGGAAGAGGAGGCTAGAGAGAGAGAGGAGGAGGCAGCAAAGAGGGAGGAGGAAGAGAGAGAGAGGCAGAGAGAGCAAGAGGAGGCGGCCAGAAGGGAGAAGGAAGAGAGAGAGAAAGAGGAGAGAGAGAAGCAAAGGGAAGAGGAAGAGGAGGCAGGTAGGAGAGAGGAAGAAGAGAGAGAGAGGCAGAGGGAGCAAGAGGAGGCGGCTAGAAGGGAGGAAGAAGAGAGAGAGAGGCAGAAGGAACAAGAGGAGGCAGCTAGAAGGGAGGAGGAAGAGAGAGAGAGGCAAAAGGAGCAAGAGGAGGCGGCTAGAAGGGAGGAGGAAGAGAGAGAGAGGCAGAGGGAGCAAGAGGAGGCGGCTAGAAGGGAGGAGGAAGAGAGAGAGAGACAGAGGGAGCAAGAGGAGGAGGAGGTAGCAAGGAGAGAGGAAGAAGAAAGAGAGAGGCAGAGGGAGCAAGAGGAGAGAGGTAGAAGAGAGGAAGAAGAGAGAGAAAGGCAAGAAGAAGAAGAGGCAGGGAGGAGTGAGGAGGAAGAGGCAGCGGAGGCAGAGAGGAGGAGGGAGGAGGCGGCAGCAAGGAGGGAGGAGGAGGAAGCTAGGCGGCAGGAGGAGAAAGAGGAGAGAGAATGGGGTGGTGGTGGTGGTGGTGAGACTGAATATGTAGTTGAAAATCTCAAGAGGAGGCTCACTGTTTAAACTCTTCTCTTTGCTTTGCATCTTCCTGTCTTGAGTTTGCTTCTCATCCATGTTTTCTAGTATGAATAAGCTTGTCTTTTACTAGTGTTTTTTTCCCCCTTCTCTACCTTTTTTGTAATAAACCTTTCGGAACAAATTTCGTGTTTCTATCCGAGTACTCCGCTGCAAAGCTCTTCCTTTTTGTCTTTACTTCCATTTTTTGCATTTTGTATTGGAACAGAATACGTTGGTTTTTCGATCCCAGTACATTTACGTTGACAGCAATGTATAACTCAGCACGAGCATACCTGAGTATAAAAACTTCAGGATTATAAACAGCAGTGTATAACTCAGCACGAGCATACCTGAGTATAAAAACTTCAGGATTATAAATCTTGACAGCAATTTTTCGAGCATACCTGAGTATAAAAACTTCAGGATTATAAATCTTGACAGCAATTTTTCGCATATACCCAAACAAAGCTGTCAAATTCGATTGGCAATGCAAATACATTTGCAGGGTAACCACAGCCCCACTGAACTTTATCACTCTTTGCAAGTTCATGATCTAAGGTGCTTTTGAAGTGGAAGTTGTCCTTAGGTTTTGAATTCTCAAGTCACACAAGTAGTTTGGGAACGAAGTAAAAGGTGTCCTGAGTTTTTGAATGCTCAAGTCACACGACTAATTTGGGAACTCAGGATCATCCGTCGTAACATCTTAAAGAACATCTAATATGTGACAAATATAGTGTAGAATTCAAAAAATGTAAAAGAGACGATAAGTTATCAAAATCGCTAATCAAAGACGTTCGCAAGACATACAATTCAAAGGTAAAGCTACCCAAAAACGATTAAAAGAAGGAAAATTCAGTATTTTGAATAACCAGAAACATACGAGACCACGACAGTCAAGTCATCAAGTTTACCGCCAAAGTAAATGTATCCGGCCTTTTCAGCAGCAACAGAAAATGGAGTCCGATATATCCTGTCCAGAGACCGTGCACGTGCAAATTCAGCAACCTTTCGGGCTGTGGCTTCAGGGCTCATACCTTCTTTCATGGCATCACCCACAATACTTGCTATCTCTTTACTATACACGTTGTCGAACAGCCCATCGCTACCAGCAACCACCACATCTCCAGGTTCAACTGGAACCTTCAAAACCTGAAAGATAACGATAACATACGAGTTTTAAAGCATTTGTCTAGATTAAAGACAATGGGTTAAAATGCCTCGGGACCCAACCTGTCCAGAACATGGCAGGTCACCACTCGTGCCTCGATCAAGTTGATAAGGGCAATTAAAACCGTGCACTTGTACAGGCGATTCAAATACTGCTTGCCCATCCCTGACTACAATAAACCCACTATCTCCGAGGTTGATGGCATGCAGATCCTGTTTAAAATGTGGATATTCTAGTAAAAGCAATTATTAAACCAACAGAGAATTCATAGATGCTAAGTACAACATTCAGAAAGGCTGATTCTACAAATGGATTAAGAAAATCAAAGAAGCCACAACACACAAATAAGGACTTTATTCAGAAACGGGAAAAAAATGAAAATAAACGAATTAAATAATGTCGTAAAATACACTCTATCGGTTAGAATCTATCTTTCAGTTCTCAATGGTAACAAAAGTCAGTACACAAATATTTTCACAAGATAACCTCACAAAATTAAACTCAAAGGAAGGACTACATATACACTCAAAAGCAAACCTGATTTTTCAAGGCAATAATGCAGGCTGTTGAAGAACCCATCATATTAGTTGCTGCATGTGCCTCTTCCAAGACACGCAAGGGGTCAACATCTTCACCTGGCACCTTTCTAATGGCTTCAACCGAATTAGACATGAGTTGGCGAGCATAATCCCCCGAGTTCACGCCAACATCCGCCCAACCACCAACCCCATCCGCAACCCCAATTACTTGCTCGTCACCACATATAAAATGAGCATCCTCTCCTCCTGTTTTTTCTTTATCTGGATGAGGCATGTAACATGCGCCAGATAGAAACTTCAAAGTTCTATCATCCAGCCTCTTCCTACAAAAATCAAAATTTAAAAAATAAATATTGGAGCTTTATCAGTATGACAGTATCTATAGTAGAGTTACATAAAGGGGGGAAAAAAAATATGCCACATAGACATAGTGTGTGACCTTTGCATGAATTTCAATTGCTATAACACTCAAGTTTTACAAAAGAGTAAATGATATCTCTGCAAATCTTTTACTCAGGTTTCATGTTTGGGTCACAACCTTGGGGCTAGGCTATAAAAGGTGACCGATGACTTAAAAGTACTATCACTTTAGTAAGATTTTATTTTTCCATCTTCAAATCACACAAATAGGTCAATATTGGAACAGTTCAGAATCATACAAGTTACAACAAACTAATGCACAACTCCTACTGCATGCTCATGTCAACGACAATGAGCTCTAAAATAACAACCAAAAAGACAAAATTACTAACAACATACATGAAGTCCGATCAAAATTGCATTGGATATTTACAAATCAAGAACTACAAAAGTGACTTACTCCTCCACTGAAAGTGCGAGACCTGACAGCTGCTCAGCACTCAAAGCTCCGTCATTCGACACTTCAGGCATAAGCCCATCAGAGTAACACGAAGATGAGAAAGTCCGACCATTACTCATCCCACTTGAAAACAGAGAACCTGAGATGGGACATCTGGGCTCGAAATCGGACATAAGACATCCAACAAAAGCATTCCGTTTTTCACTCTGTACACCTCTCAAACTCACTCTAACTCTCCCACACATCTTAGGACCTCTATTGCCAAACCAAACCCAACCGAGCTTCACAAAATCCGATAAATTACCACCACCCGATGCAACTACTGAACCAGGAGCAGCCATGATATTTTTATTTCTTCGTTTGCTCGAATAATTAAACGCTTGACCAGTAGGGCCAGATACAAAACCACTAAAACTGTTTCTAGGTGAAAGCGGTTGTATCAAACGGAGATGTTGAGATTGATTAACTCTCAGAACCTTCCGGAATCCGAGACCAGATGCAACATTAATATTTGAAAGCAACCCAGATGACATTTTATCAACCCAATTTAAAGATTTCAACCGGAAAGCCCATATACAAAAACATATCCATGTACCATTGTGCTAAGCAATGAAACTCGGAATCCTGAAACAATGGCAAAAAGATTGACAGTTACTCACACTGTTCTCATCAAAGCTACACTTTTTGCACATGTAAGAGCGGAAAAAACAAACACAGCCGAATTAAAATAAAGCTAAAAATCAAGCAAAACAAGTAATTAGGGCCAGGAAGAACGTAACAAATCAAATTGTAAACAAGAAGTAGGCACCTGAAGCAGCTGATTGAGAGATACTTGGGCAGGGAGCGGTTCAGGCCTCTCTGCAATTACTTCTGCTCCCAAATCTTTCACTGTGAATAGATAATATTCATCAGCAGAACCGAAACGCAACACACGAGTCAAGAAGTCCTTACGAGGATGAGATAAAACCCGGTCTGTATTAGCTTCGTAACAGTAGTCGCTTGATCCGATAATGCTTTAGATCTGGTTGATTTTGGGCCAACACATAAATTCACAACCAAAATGGGCTCAGCTTGTTTGTTTGTAGGTATGACACACGATTTATAATTGGGAAATTTTTAGAGAAAATTACCCTCCGTATCATCCTAGCTTTTTATATGGCCCATTATACGAGCTAAAAAAAATAATCGCACATTAGGTTCCATGAAGCCACATTGACGAGATTATAAAAGTTTCAATACCACTTTGGTTCCTTTAATTAATTATTAATTATCTTCTGTGATTTTTCCTCCATCACCGCCCGCCTCTTCACGCAAATAAATTTTTCACCACCATCATTCACGCACTATCCCTTGTAGCCGCCTGTCACCCCTGCGAAGCCCCTTTTCAATTTTCCTCCAGCGATCGATTTCACTAGAATTAAGGTTGTAAAATACAAGGACCGACTTGATGAAGGTGAGCTTCTCCGCCTATGCCACTGGCGGGTGGTTTGCATCCTCATCGCTATCGAATCAGTCGCTAACGTCACCCTCGATTCGATATCTTCTCTCTGTCCGATTCCTTTCTCCCGTTGTCGGCGCCACCGTCACCGTAAGGAGCTGGGAATCGAAAAGGTGTGCTTTACTAAATTATTTGGATCCATAGTTGTGATTTACTGATTTAGGGTTTAGCTTTTTC